ATCACTAGTCACGAAAATACTCTTATAAAACGCAATATCGAACGCGTCAACGCGAGAGTGCTTACAATTAATACTGTGTCTGTGTCATGCATCAAGTACTCAAATTTTCATGAAATCTATAATAAATCATCTCAAAAAGAATACTATAGAAATTGAATAACAGTTACATTTGCCAATATATAAGAACTTTATAAATTGATCTTGTACAAGTGGTTGGCCGACAAAAAACAAATGTATTTTTAAAATATTGTAGCTTCTGGGCGGCAACTTGTCAAAGACGGTTACAATTTGCTCCGTGCAAGTTGTACATCAACATTGCAATGTTTTGACTCACTATAGAAAAGTTGCTTGCAAAAGAACACCCGGTTTGATTGTAGTTTTATCGTGGTTTGAAACCTATAACCCTTTGCAGTTTTCTCAAAGTTCCCTAATTTAAGTTATACGAGATGACCACCCATATAGTTAATATAGACGGCCACCCAGATATCGATTTCTTGTCAATTTTGAATTAACTAATTTTTTAAAAAACATGTGTCTAGTCAATTGAGCCTGTCGAATACAAGTGGAGTTCACATTGTACTTCGCAAATACTCATGTCCTCGTTCACATTCACGCGTGTCCCTATGGTAACCTAATTTCCTTAGTTGGGGGTGTGGTAATTATGCAGGCTTGTCCATTTGTTTCAACCTCATTATCCATTACGTTGTAATTAAATAATTATGCTGTGCAGGTTGTGAAGAGAGGAATGGTGTGACTTTATAAAAGGACAGTGTCACGGCGCTGATTGACTAAAATAAACGGCTGAAAAAACCCCAGTTTTTCGTGATTGTTAATTCTTATTATCCAGTTAAAAGGGGAAAAAACAACTTTTCCTATAGCACCCTAATATTAGCCAATCAAATCGCGTGTTATCATCCGGCTTATATTATAAGTGCATTTTAATGATATTAGTACTGTAACTCATACGTCTAACCATAGGCCAAATTAAGTATTGATCAAGTTCCTAATGCGACACGTGATCTTACAGACGCGTTACAATTAAATTATTTTCCAATATTACATCATGCCAAATGTTCTATGTGAAATCATTGTGGATTTAAGAAGTGGGAATATTTTAATTTATTATAGATATATGGATATAATGGTCATCACTGTCTATCTAAAGACGCGGCAGCGTTAGATTTTATTGGTAAGTACTATTTTTGCATATTCTGAATTAATATTCTAATATTCTCTAGATTACTTCATGAGTTGCAAAAAATTCCTATAAACGGACGAGTGAGCGGCGCGAACGAGTGAGTTTTATAGGAATTTTTCACAACGAGTGCATAATAAAAATCGTACAAGCGAACCAACCATCAAGTAATTTGTTTAGTTTATGAGTTATTATATATTCAATTCAAACTTTCAAAAATATATAATGCGCATCAAAAAGTACAATAATACAACAACTTCAATTTATACACACAAGAAAAAGAAAAATGTTTACAATTTTCGTAGTGTTTATTGTTTCGTATTTTGTTACAACAACTTTTTCTTCAAGTATTTCTCGAAGCTGGCAAACTTAGAACGTAGAGAACTATAAGTTCGTATTCTCCGTTCTTATCTTTCTTATAGACAGAAATAATAAATTCGCATTGAAAAGTCCTAGATTCTTCGCGATTCGCTTTTCGATGATATACATTCTTGTAGAAGTCCAATGTGCATGCAGTGTGCTTTTTTCTTGTATTATTATTCTCCTGCATGATGTTCAATGAATTCGCTTACGAATGGTGTAGTGTATCTGCGAATCGTGAAGCCATTACAAACTAAAAGTCGAACGAAACTGATTGTTGCTGTCTTGTCGAATTTTAAAGCTGGCCGCCGATGCAATTTTCCCTTTCGTAAACGGTCGTTACCATCCGGAACTGGCGTTACCATCCCGAGTCTTATAGAATTCTTGGTAAGCAGAGCAAAATTCCTCGTTGTCCCATGCTGTTCCGCTTCTTTGTCTGTTGTCCTTGCGGACATGCTTGCTGGTTTTGACGAGTTAATAAATTCTGCTATTAGCGAATGTGATATCGATTCTCAGAGTATTCCATTGTTAAATGTTGAAAAAGAACGCATAGAAGCTAATCTTCTGGAGAAGTTGCCGGAGGATTACTGTTATAAGTTCAATCTTTCAGTTATTAATGAACAGAAATCGTCCTTCCAAACTGAAGACAGAACTACCGAGAATGTTCATCCCTGGTTAATCGAATTTCAAACCATCAATTCCATCACTCTGAAAGTAAAAACAAAGAAAAAGCCAACAACAGGATATCTTACCAGACTTATTACCGGTGTCCACATAACACTAGACGATGGAGCCCAAACAAAGATCCTCAGAGAAAACAACAGAAAAATCCAGCAGCCAGAGTGAAAAATACGAACTGTCCTTTCCAGTTGATTATAAAGATAAAGATAAATACAAATGGCATTTGTTTTGTAGACATTGAGTG